GATGCATACTAATGTGGTTATGGTAGGACTTAATCGTTCTTGTAATCTTGTTCTTAGTTTGAGCACACATCTCATACACCACTACTGAAGCTGCGGACCTTCGTTTTCACCTCGTTTCTTGCTTTGAGTGAAATGTGGCAAATTTGACATCTTTCATCGAACTTCTTGCTTGTCAGGTCTGACAGAAATGGGTGCATCAAGAAAATGGATCAGGTCATTGCTGGGTTTGAAGAAATCCCACAAATCTCTATCTATAGAGAACAATGAAAATGTTGGTGTTCTATTCTGATGATTATTTCTGTGTCCCACATCAAATTCCTATCTTTTAATATCATGTCTCGTTTTGTTTGTAATTCTCGAGTCTTAAGCTAGTTAATGTGGTATTGGAAAGAGGTGTGCAGGGAAAACATGCCTGCTCTTACGTTTCGACAGTGGAGATTGGTTTCACGTGGATAAAAATTCACGTATCTCTTTATTTTTCTTTTTCCCTTTGTAGAATATTATTTATATGTTCCCTTTTGCACAATTTGTGGTGTACTTTTTATTAAAATGTCACTTCTACAAACTTTTAGGTCCTTCTATTATTTAGGAGTGAGAACACCTGTAATAAGTTTATGTATAGCGTATGGTGATAAACTGCATAAGAATGAATAGAAGTTTAATCTTTTTGAGTCGTCGACTATGCTGGACCCAAAATTTGGTTGTTGTCTCAATTCTAGGTTCAATTCTCAAATTTCTCAACATGGTGTTTTTTTTATTTAATTTTTCTCAAATCAAGGTTTTTTGTTTTATCCTTTAGTTCTCATATGGGAACTCAAATTATGTTTTTTAATCTCAAGCCAGTGCTCATGGCCAGCTCCGATTGAGGAACAAAAGCAGCAATTAGGCGCCCTATTGAGAACGAAGCAAAAGTTGGGTCCTTATTTGAAGTAAAGAAAAAAAAGGGTAACAAAAGTGAACCCCCACTTGGGACTTTAAACAATCAAACATCGCATTTTAGATAAACCAACAATAATTGTTCCCTTGCACTTGCTCTACCATTTTGTCCTTTCTCCATACGTCTCACACCATGACCAGCTAATAGCAAACACTATATAGTTTGATTCCTGTCCTCCATCGAGAGTACACTCAGGGATATAATTTCTTCATTTGGTCTGTATTTGCAGTTTAAATTGCCATCAGTGCATGATAACTCGTGAGATTGTATCACTGTTGTTGAGATTGCATAATATCTGTTGAATTTTTCCTTGTCTGCTTATAATTGTGGGTTGTTTGTTTCCTACCTACTCTTATGAACTTGATCTAAAGTGTATAGTTATTATTTTAAATTGTTTTCAGAGATCTGGGAGCAACGGAAAGATTTTCCATCGAAGGAAGGACTTTGTTGAGATTGATACTAGTGATCTTGAAAATGAATTGAATCAAAATGTGGTAACAACAACTGAAGATGCTAATTTCCAGTCAGTTTCAGATTCTACTAGATCAGCTTCCACTTCACTTCAGGTGCCAAATGCAGCTCAATTTCAAAACACGGGAGAAGAATGGGCAGCTATACGTATCCAAACGGCTTTCAGAGGATTTTTGGTAATTTACTTGTTTATCATCCTGATGCTGTGATTAAATGCATAACTTGCAATGTGATTTCCTACTTTCATATCCATTTATTTCTTGTAGTGAGTTTTGCTGTTAAACTCTATTTTCATATCCATTTAGTCATTGTTCTCTTTCTGTTTTGTTAATTTTATCTAACTTCTTTTTGCTTTTGGTGTGTGTGTGTGTGTGTGTGTGTGTGTGTGTCAGGCTAGACGAGCTTTACGTGCTTTAAAAGGATTGGTGCGACTTCAAGCTCTGGTTAGGGGTCATGCTGTAAGGAAGCAAGCTGCCATTACACTCCGTTGTATGCAAGCTTTAGTAAGAGTTCAGGCTCGTGTTCGAGCAAGACGTGTTCGGATGGCATTAGAGACTCAAACAACAGAACAGAAACTCCAACAACTTGAGCATGAGGCTCATGTCAAAGAAATCGAAGTAAATAAATGCCTCTCATTCGAAATGCCTTTATTATTTCATTTTTGCCCATGGATGCATTATAATTTATGGTGTGTACATTGCAAACAAATGCATCATAAAGACCATGAAGGCCCTTTAGTTACTTTACTGAATTATTATCGTGTCTCTGGTTGTGAAGTTGGTGGATAAATGTGTCATGGCCCACATCATAAATGTGCATTAGGACTACTCTTTCTTAACATGAATGGCATACGAGAATGTTGTGTGGCTCAGTTTTCTTTTTTCTGTACGGTTGACTGTAAACCAGGATGGATGGTGTGACAGTGTTGGTTCTGTTGAAGAAATTAAGGCCAAGTTGTTGAAGAGGAAGGAGGCGGCAGCTAAGCGTGAAAGAGCAATGGCATATGCTTTAGCTAACCAGGTAAGAAAACACACTAATAACCTCATTTATATGTAGTCAATATAAATTATTTTTGAAGTAATAAAGTACTACATCTAGACGTAACAGTTCAAAATCATACTGGAAAAGTTGATAAATTGTTAGCAGACCATACCAGTTCTTTCTTTTCTCTTGGAAATTAGGTAAGCTACCTAATCTCTTCACATTGTTTAATTTAAAATTGTGTGGCTTTTCATGGTGGAGGAATTTAAGGGAAAAACAACATAATGAAGACTGTCTGATTTAGCTTGTCTTCCCTGCTTTGCTGGTCTAGAATTTACAAGTTCTATAATTTGTTTTTTCTAGATCTGGTATATGGTGAATTGAAGATATAATTTCTTAAGATGTGAGATTCTCCTTAAAAGGCGATTCGTTTTATAATTAAATTATGTCGCTGGATAGATCTATTTTTTTTCTCTTCCTTTTTGTAAATAAAGAATTTTCAAAGTGTCCATGCTTATTCTTGCATGTAAAGTTTTAGCATTTATATCATGGTACGGTACCATGAGGACAAGGCAGATGAATCAGACAGCTTACTTGTTGTACAGGCAAGCTATTTATTGTTTTTATTTGATCCAATCCTGCAATTATGATGCAGTGGCAGGCGGGATCAAGGCAGAACGTAACTCCTGCTGGTTTTCAACCTGATAAAAGCAGCTGGGGTTGGAATTGGTTAGAAAGGTGGATGGCCGTTCGACCATGGGAAAATCGCTTACTAGACATTAACCTTAAAGATGGTGTGAAAATTCACGAGAATCAACCGGCTGAGGTGAAGAACGCAGTCACAACTCTAGCTCTGTCGAATTCTGAAGGAAAGAGAGGCATGTCAAATGTTGCAAATGGGAAAGGTCCTCGTTCGAGCAATAACTCCAATCTCTCGAATGAAAAAAAGGCTGCATCCCATACGGATGCCTGCAGTTCTTCTACACCCAACAAGTCGGTCAATGCACAAGAGAAACCTGGCTTGCTGTCTAAACCGGTTGTTGAAGACTTGGCTGAGGAAGCTACCTCAAGGCCTAATGTTATCTCCAGATCTCACAGTAATCCAAAGGAGAGGTCAAATAAACCCGGAAAGAAGCGGTTGTCCCTACCGGGAAATGGTCAGTATCTCTATCTCTCTCTCTCTCTCTCTCTCTCTCTCTCTCTCTCTCTCTGTGCATTACGACTGAGTATTGTGGCTCTACTAGTGTATCTAGGGATAATTCAAGATTACCCTCGAGTTTCCGCCCGAATTTTGGTAAACCCAAATTATCTTCCAAAATAGGGACACATTCACGGAATACAAACTCCATGTTCAGGTTGTAATTTGTAAAACAATTAACAATTATCAAAAGGTAACTGTAGTTATATGAAGATGCATTGTTAACTAAATTGCCAATGGTATTTTTGGCAATTAACCACATATTTACAATTAAATTTTGTGTTTACATATCTATCTACCTCAACTGTGGTATATGCATGAGCTCTGATTCATTAGACCCGTGCATTTGTTTAAAATCCGTTCCTTGATTGTAGACAACAGTAACAATCACCTAATTTGTGCATCTTGGTAGGTGTCCCCCAATTGTTAGCGATTCTAAAATATCAGAGTGAATTGGTTGTTGTGGGAATATATTATGGCATAAATATATCATCATATAATCAAATTATCTTTCTATAATCTGATTTGGCCAGGACAAAATCATGTGGCACAACAGGCCAGGCCAAAGCCTAACGTCAAACGATCTCCCACTGTTCTGAAACCTGAGAAAGACAAAGCAAAACTCAACGTGTCTAATGCAAAACCTTCAAAAAGTAGTCCAAGAACCGTTCCTTAGCTTCTCAACCAGTGGTATCTTAAGTTCCTCCCCGCGATATTGCCAAAAATCGAGTACTTACTGTTTGTACATAAAAGGCACGTGCACGTGCATATGCTCGTGAGCATATGTTATGGCAGTGCTTGTATGAGTTCCTTATAATATGCGACAATGACCTCGGGCATGACTTGAGTTAAGAGACGGGCTCGTTTGCTGTACATTGAGTATGGTGTCTCGAACATTTTAGTGTTGTATTTTATTGCATTTAATTTATTTGTAATATTAGAAATGGGTGTTGGGTTTTTGGTGGCGGAGCATGTATCATACAACTCCAGATTGTGTTTTTTTTTTTTTTTTTT